CCACTCAAACTTCTTCTGTTTACCTGATTCATCCTTTTGGGTAGCTGACCTCATAATCTTGAAAAACGGTAGGCACTTATCTGTTGACTTCGATATGAACCGATGAAAAGCTGTTACCCTTCCAGTCAACCTCTGTATATCCTTCACTGACTTTGGCGGTTCCATTTCGGCAATTGCTCTAATCTTCTCTGGGTTGACCTCAATCCCTCTCTGGGAAACCATGAAACCCAGGAATTTTCCAAACTCCACACCAAAGATGCATTTGGCTGGGTTTAACCTCATTCTATTCTGTCTGAGATTGTTGAATGTCTCCTCAAGGTCGGTTAAGTGATCGTCAGCTTTCAAACTCTTTACCACTATATCATCAACATAAACTTCCAGATTCCGTCCTATCTGAGCTCGGAATACGATGGTAACCATCTTTTGGTAAGTGGCACCTGCGTTCTTCAAGCCGAAGGGCATCATTACATAGCAATAAATCTCATCGCCAGCATAGAACGAGGTTTTTTCTTCATCCTCAAGAGCCATTGGGACCTGGTGGTAGCCTGAGCATGCATCCAAGAGACTTAATCTCTCATTTCCCGAAGCTGCCTCAACCAGCTTATCAATGTTTGGCATTGGATAACAGTCCTTTGGACATGCATCGTCGAGGTTAGTGTAATCGATGCACATCCGCCATTTACCGTTTGCTTTTTTCACCAACACCGGATTGGCGACCCACTCACAGTAATCTACCCTTCTAATAAAGCCGGCTTGTAGGAGTTTCTCGACCTCTTCTTTAATAACCTTTAACCTTTCCCCCCCGAAGAGGCGTCGCTTTTGGGCTACTGGTTTCTTGAGGGGATTGGTGCTGAGTTTATGTTGAAAAACTGAAGTGGGAATTCCCGGCATATCTGCTGAAGTCCATGCAAAAACATCCTTATTGGCCTGAAGAAAAGCTATTAGCTCTGCTCTTTCCTCCGGGTTCAATTTAGTCCCAATTTGCGTTTTCCGGCTCGGATCTTTGTCATCAATCTGTACCTCCTCCACATCTTTGACTGGAGCAGCTCTGGTTTCATTTTCTGGTCGGTTATCTACTATTGCAACACCCATAACTTGCCGATCATTAGGAATCCGTTTGGGATTAATCTCGGGTGTCTGGGCCTTGCCCTTTTGAGGTTGTGTTACCGAGGTGATATAGCAATGTCGGGCCACCTCTTGGTTGCCTTGCAGCGTTGCTATTCCCGTAGGAGTTGGGAACTTCATGCATAGGTGAGATTGGGAAACCACAACTCGGATTTCAGTCAGTGTGGGTCGACCAATGACGACATTGAATGAGGATGCCATCTTGACTACCAGAAACCTGACTGAAGGGGTCACATAACTTCGGCCACTTCCAAATGCAACATTCATGGTGAGGACTCCTTCAACTGGAACTGGTTGGTTGTTGAACCCGTAGATGGGACCATCATACCGTTGCAACAGAACTGGATCTAACCCAAGACTCCCAAAACAATGGAAGTACATGATGTCTGGTGCACTCCCTGTGTCAACAAGGACACGCTGCACTTCACAATTGTTGATCGTGACAGAAGTGACTAGAGGATCATTGTGAGGTGTAACAACTGTTTCGAGATCAGCAGATGTGAAAGTGATGGGTTAATTCTTCCACTCAGTATCGTCAAATTTTCGCTTCTAAGCTCGGTTCTGGTGCTTAACCTCTTTGACATACAGCTTTTGCTGCTTAGAGCTCAGTCCACCGGCTTCGAGACCTCCCGTAATCATGTGTATGACTCTAGCTGGTGGTGGGAGTGGGGGTGGGGCCTGCTGATATCCCACATCTTGCCTGTTTGGGGGATTGCGGACTCCTTGATGCTGTGTCCCTTGTTCCCTGACAAACCGTGGCTGTTCAACTCTCTGGATGTACTCATTCAACATTCCTTTCTGTGCCAGACTTTCCAGCTCGGACCTCAGACTATTGCATTGTTTTGTTGTATGATCGTGATCTGGATGAAAATCACAATACCTGGTATGGTCTCTGGTAGCAGCAGCAGTTCTCATTGGATCCGGACGTCTTAAGTCCATCTTATTCTTAATCTGCATGAAGATTTGTGACCTCGGTAAATTAAAAGGAGTCCAATTAATAGGAGGTTTACCTGCAGGTTGTTGCGGAGGTGCTGAGTTTGTCCTTCCGAATCTCAGGGTGAAAGTCGACATCGGACCTCGGTTCTGTGTTGTCTTCATCCGTTTCCTGTTCGGATTCTCATCTCTCCAGTCTGGGTGTTGGTTCTTAATAGGAGTTATATTCTGCGACAGGGCATATTCCTCCGCAGTTATGAATTTCAACGATCTATCATTTACTTCGCTGAAGGTGTTGGCAGGATGTTTGAGCAGACTATCTCGGAATCTCTCATGGCTAAGACCTGAGATCACAGCTGTAATTCCTACAGCTTGGTCGAAAGAGTTAACCTCCAGCACTGCATCATTGAATCTGCTCATGAAATTCTTCAAAGACTCTCCGTCCCTCTGCTTAACTCGCATCAACTCAGAAGTGGTTTTCCTGATCAACCTTCTACTGGAAAACTTTGTGGCAAAAGCAGATGCCATTTCTATGTAAGAGTTGATTGACCTCGGAGGCAGACTGTAGTACCAAGTTCGAGCATTACCTCGGAGGGTAGAAGGAAAGATTTTGCACATCAACGCATCAGAGGCATTCTGGGCCTGCATGCAAGAGTAGAAAGCATGTAGATGATCATCGGGGTCCTTCGTCCCATCATAAGTTTCAAGCTGCGGTATTCTGAAGCCAGCGGGATAGGGTTCTAGTACAATATTGGTGTTGAGAGGGTGGGGTACGGAGTCAGCAGTAGGGTGTGGAGGTGGGACACCTCGCTGTTCAACCACTAGCTTTTCTAAGCTATCTAGATGTCGAGTGACATCATCATGAGGGGGTTGCTGAGCTGGTGCAATGTGAGATTGGCCCTGAGATTCACTAATAGCGGGAGCATGTTGAACTGGTTCAGGATTTTGTGGTGGGGCTGGAGGTTGTGGAGGAGGATTAAGTAGGTTGATGAGTGGATCACTAGGATTATTCCGGGCTAATAGCTGTGCCAGTACTAACTGAAAGACACCAAACTGCTGTTGCATGGCAACGAGCTGAGTTGCAACTACGCCTTGGTTAGCAGTAGAGGCTGAGTTGTGAACCGAATTGTGTGGTTGATTTTCGTCTTCTCCTTCTGCATGATCAACAGGAGGGAACGTATTTGGGATTGGGGGTGGGGGATGAGGTGGAAGGTTGCTGGGGACCTGACCTCGTCCAAGAGGCTAAGACGAGTTTCCACCTCGGGCTGACCTAGTTTTAACCATGATAAGAGCAACAAAGGAGCCTTTAGTTCAGATTCCCATAGATGGCGCCAAAATGTAACTGCACCAAACCAGAAGTCCTTCTTCAGTTCGTATCTGCACTCTGGATCGACCTGCAAAGCCCCGAGGTGGATCCTCGAGGTAGACACTCCGATGCTTAAGTCAGCAATAATCGAGGCTACCTTTAGAGCAGAGAAACAAGGAGCTTAGGGTTGGTTTCAATTACCTTTTTGCGTGGCCCTTAAGGGGGGTATTTATATGTTCCGACGAAGAACCCTCGCGGCATGCCAAGCGAAATATCCGGGATCCGATGTGTATCTCCAAGCAGTTATTTCGGGATCGAGAAATTAAGCCACGCAAGATATTCGGGATCTGATGTGTATCTTTAGTCGGTTATTTCGGGATCGAGAGATTAAGGTATATTTAGATGCAAGGATGTCCATCATAACTGCTGTGCAGCTGTTCGAGCGGGAAGCTCTGGAGTTACTCTTCACTTCGGTTGTAAAGGAACTGCTGTCATACGTCCGAGGTTGGGCACCTCGGACCTGCTCTTACAGGCACCAAAACCAAAAGAAACTTAGATATGTTTTTAGTGCTACAGAAAGCAAACATATAAAGAACATAAAGAATAACAGTGAAATACCAGTAGTGAAATTGAGCCAATGGCATGACCAGGTACTAGTTCCCAAAAGTTGACTTGGGAAACTTCCGTAAGATCTTCACCAGAAGTAATCTAACCAGAAATTGAATTTTCAAACATGAAAATTACAAACAAAAACACAAACTTGTTGGAAAAGAGAGAACCTGCTGCCAGCATTTGCTCAATGCTGAAGACGGAATGTTAGGTGGTGCCATTTGAGGCAACACACCCCCAGTAGCTTTGAAGAGAGGCATGACGAGCATGAAGACTGCTACTGAAACTAATCCCACACATGAAACTTCAGCATTGCTGACCCTGCAAAGAGGAGTAATAGTAGAAATTATATTAGTTGAACATGGAGGAGGTAAGTGAGGAGAAATCTTTCCCGAGATACGAAATACCAAATTGCCCAAGGGACAAAAACCATGAAGCCAAAATCAAACCTGCACTGAGAAACAACAAAAGAAGAGGGGCTTTATGAGGATGTGAATATCAAATTTGATGTGCTTTACCAAAAGAAGAGGAGCTTTATGAATGGAATGTGCAAGAACAGGTAAGCAAACCAGGTGGTAATCCATATCTTCAGCCTTTCTGTACACTGCAAGAAAATATTCATTCATAAAAAGAGTAGGAAGGACAATCATTTTCTAGTTTTCAAAGAGAAAAGAAAGAGAATAGTAGGAAAATCTAGTTAAGGCAAACATTTTAAAAAGAAAAAAAAAAAAATTGAAGAACAAAGAAAAGCTTTAGTCATCTAAACAGGAACCCTGATATTATGAACTAAAAGTGCACGTCTTATTTATGAGTTATAATATTGAAAAGGGCATAGAACCATGAAGCAGTTAAGCTGCACCCATTTTCAAATCTGCTATAATATATAAGCATCATACTCTAATTTCCACATCTCTTAGAACATATTCAAAGGAAACAGAAATTGAAACTCACCAATACGACCAGTAAAACGTCCAATCCCCAGCTCTCCAGTAGAATACGCCACATTTAGTGAAATCATCAGCAGCAACCTTTTCATCGGCCAATTACATGTCCTCATAACATGATAAACCCTGAAAAACAAAGCTGGATATGAACACAGATATCTGGAAATGGGTTTAGAAAAAGGGATTGTTTCAGAGGGGAATGTGAAGAAAACTGGATGAAAAATGAAGGTATCCGTTGGGCTTGGGGAGGGAAAAGCTGCAAGTCAAGTAAACCGAGGGGATAAAAATGGACAGTAAATTAGAAATCGTCTTTTTTATAATTTTTTTATATAATTTTTATATGTTATTAGATAAATAAATATATTTAATATTATAAAATTTAAATAAATAAA